TTCTTCAGATGCATTCTTGCATCTGAAGAAGTGAGGTTCTTACCCACGAAAGCTTATGCTCCCAATACTTCTGTTAGTCTCAAAGGTGCCACAGGACCCTCTGTTGCTTTTTACAGATTCAGACTAACACGGCTACCCCTCTGATACTTAAGTTTGTAAGGACATTGAAAGTGTTAAGATCAGCTTAGAATGCATTTTGCTTTTATTTCATTTGACCAAATCTGACTTGTTATGCTTTGACTTATAATCACTTAAATCTACCTTTATAGTTAATAAATCTGTTTGTTTATTCTACCTGAAGCAGTGCATTTGGTTTGCAGTGTGTCAAACTCCCCTTGGGAGAACAGCCTGGTACACATCATCAATTTCTTTGTAAAAATTGACAAACTCATATAAGCTTGCAGCGTCCAGTGAGAATAACTGGACACTGCAAGACAGAGCTTCCTAGGATTGTTTCTGGGACCAGAGATATTGGTTAGTGTCATTTGCTTGCAAGTAGCTGGGAGCAGCTTACATGCCAGAGGCTGTGCGTGAACAGCCCGGGAGTGGGGGTTCTCACAGCAGAGCAGGGTAAGGCTGACTCCCAGAGTCAAGGATTGAAGTGGCCTAGCAGATCACTGGTCCAGACAACAGAGGGGAATGTCACGCCCCCCTACTAGAACCTCCTGCTCCCCCCAGTGCTGCCTCCCTGCTGGTGGGCCCTGACAATAAGTGCATCCTCCTCCCTCTCAGTGCATACCACCGGATGCGTATCAGCTGTTGCACAGCATCAGGAGGCGCTGGGAGGAAAGGGGGAGGAGCAAGGGCGCAGCACACTTGGGCAAGGGGGCAGAACTGGGCGGGGGCAGAAAGAGGTGGGACAGGGTGGGGCCCTGGGGAAAGGGGTGCAGTGGGAACAGAGCCTAGGCAGAGCCAGAGGGGGAGCACCCCCCAGCATATAGGTGCCGAGTTTCTAATGTCTCAGGACCCGCACACCCCTAGGGACAGTCCTGCACAAGACTTTGTACTCATGGGGGACTTTAACTACCGAGACTCTGTTAGAAAAGTAATACAGCCAATCACAACATTTTCAATCCATTGCTAATTGTGACAGGTTGGATCACAGAAACCCTCTTGGGAGCTGCCACCTGATGTGCCCAGACTACTTCTACCCCAGTTTTCCTTGCCAGCTCAGGACTCCAGCACCCTGTCTTGCTGCGCCAGACACTCTCTCCCATCTGCTCCAACAAAGAGCCAGGGTCTGAATTACTTGCCCCAAAGCTGCAGGTTTACCTGAAAGCAGCTAACAGAAGTGTTCCTGTCTTTAACACTCAGATGCCCAACTCCCAATGAGGTCTAAACCCAAATAAATCCGTTTTACCCCGTATAAAGCTTATACAGGATAAACACAAATTGTTCACCCTCTATAACACAGAGATATGCACAGTTGTTTGCTCCCCCCAAGTATTAATACATACTTTGAGTTAATTAATAAGTAAAAAGTTTGTCATTCTAGTTAATTTATCATGTTTCTTTTTTACCCTAGAAAAATTAGGACTATCCATTCTGAACTTCCGTGGAGGACTTCTTTCAGGTCATTAGAGGCTGTCTCCACACTATGATTGTGATGCAAAAGTTATCCACCATTGCAGCTTCACAGGTAGTAGGAATGGTGGGAGCCCGAAAATCCGGCAGCCATTCAGCATGTGTACTCTGAGCTCTCAGTCTTAACTGATTCTTTACAAAAAGACATGCTTTTAAACATAGGTGTATGCAGTGTTGTAGCCACGTTGGTCCCAGGATATTAGAGACACAAAGTGGATGAGGTAATTTTTTTTGGACCAATTTCTGTTGGTGAGAGGGTCTCGCTTTCAAGCTTACACAGCTAAAATGAAGAACCACTCTGTGTAAGCGCGAAAACTTGTCTCTCACCAACAGAAGGTGGTCCAATAAAAGGTATTACCCACCCACTTTGTCTCTCTAATATCTGGGACCAACAGAGCTTCAACAACACTATATACAACAATGGAACATGTCGAATTTTGCCATCTGAAAAGGAAACTCCACAACATGAAAAAAAAGGAAGCAAAACAGCTACATCTACTCCCTAAGCAAATGCAAGCAACAAAACACTGTCCTATGACAATCTGTACATTTATGTTCACCCCTTTTAGAGGATTATGGTAAATCTTGTACAAGGTATGCCTTGTGCAGTTTCATTTTAAAACTCATGATTTGCTCATTATTCTCCTGGTAAAATGTGTGACAACCTTGTATGTAAAATTATGGGACTCTACCATGGGATATTTCTGGGACATGTACCAACATGTTCTGGAGATCAGTCATAAACCAGCTTCCCAGAGACAAAAGGCTAGCCAACACTTCAGGCAACGAGATCAAATGGACCATCATCTGATTAAGTGGCCACTCTTCAGCAGGTGAGAGAGAGTGGGCAAAAAAAGCATATATTTTGACAAACAAACAGCTTAAGGTTCTTGTTCACACAGACTGAATGTCTCCCGAACATCAGCTGGAGATGATTCTTGTGCAAGAGAAATGGCTGTAAAAGCAGGGAGTAAATGCCTCAAATCATCTCTCCCTTTCTCTCTACCAACATCATCAACACTTGAACAAGAAAGGAAACAGCATTGGACTGGGGGGAAGATCCTGACTGAAGGACTCAGCCAGTAAAACTGTTTGAACTTGTGGTGAGAGAGACCTTTACTTTGAATTCACTTAGCTTGTTAAATTAGGTATTAGCTGGGTTTTACCTTTTTTTCTTTGTAACCAATTCTGACTTTTATGCCTCATTACTTGTAATCACTCAAAATCTATCTTTCTGTAGTTAGTAAATCTGTTTCATTATTTTAGCGAAACCAATATATTTGGACTGAAGCATTTGGGAAACAGGAGTTGAGCATATCATTTTCTATTAATGAGATGACAGACTTTATGTGAGTTTGCATTGTTCAGAAGGATGCTGGGCAGTACAAGTTGCACACATTTCTGGGAGAAAGTCTGGGATTGGGAGTTTGCTGATGTTGCCCTGCAGTGTAATTCAAGAGTGGCTGGCTATAGCACTCATACTATATAGCTGGGAGTGATTTACATGCTGCAGGCTGTGTGTGAGCAGACAAGGGGTGGTTGCTCTCACAGCAAAGCAGTGTAAAAGGCACCCCAGGTTGGAGAACTGAGGGGACACATGTCCATAAGTCCAGATTGTATCCTGGGTAATGTCACACATCCCCTGAGGTCTCACCACCTATAGGCCTCTGACCACTACGTACAACTCCAAATATGTAGAAGAGAGACCTGAAGCTCAAAAGTTTGTCTCTCACCAACAGAAGTTGGTCCAATAAAAGATATTACCTCACCCACTTGTCTCTCTAATATCCTGGGACCGACACGGCTATAACTACACTACATATAAAAGAGTATTTGTGACATAATTCAAGATCTAAAACAGCTTTTTTATTTAATTCATTTCCCCTAACAAGATTATTGGGTTGAGTGCTTATTGATTTGCTTGAAAAATCACCTAAGGATAAGAAAATAAGTTGAAATCAGTTAACATTTCTTCCCCATGGAAAACTTTATCCCAAAGTATTATGCTTTTTTGAGTAATTCCTTAAATTCCTGATCTGTATATGGAGTCAAGGCAGGAAGATTTCAAAGCAACAGTTACAAGAAAGCTTGGATCATATGCTCACCTATTTTCTTACTTCGCTCTTCTCCACGATTGTGTGCAATAATTGGAGAGTATATGAAGGGACTTTTGGCTGACATGTTCTGACCCAACAAACTTTTCATTTTCTGTGGCCGAAGACTGATGGGGAGATTCAAGAGTTTCACAGATCTGTTAAATAAAAATTTAAACAGCATTTTTAAACTGGTTATTTTTACTTTAAAGGAATTGTTGGCAAATACTGATTACTCCTTACATTTTTATAATGAACATGTAAAAAGCAACAAAGAGTCCTGTGGCACCTTAAAGACTAACAGATGTATTGGAGCATAAGCTTTCGTGGGGGAAGTACCCACTTCGTCAGATGCATGCGTCACCCACGAAAGCTTATGCTCCAATACATCTGTTAGTCTTTAAGGTGCCACAGGACTCTTTGTTGCTTTTTACAGATCCAGACTAACACGGCTACCCCTCTGATAATGAACATGGTGTCTGTAATGGGGGAAAAAAGAAATATAAAGTAAACCAAGGGTCTGAAGGAAAACCAAATATCATTTCAGAGGAAAACTGCAAACAAATGTAAAATCAGAAAAATATAATGAGAAAAAGGTACCAAAAAAAAGATGTAGAGGATCACATTTCCTTAAGAAAATGACCCGGACAAAGATTAGTAAGCCCAGTGATTTTACATGTATGAAATTTAGGTAGCTAAGCATTGATGATGGATTCGCTAAGCCCCACAAGCCAAGCCTTTGAAGGGAGACTCTAAAATTTTCAGCAATAAGCACTGGACAGCGAGCAGCTTTGCTGCAGTTAGCACAGAGTTTTTGGGCCCAGCTAGAACTTGGATAGAACTGCTGCTGTGACAACTGGGGACTACAAATTTACCCTGATTATGTGCTTAACAGTAAAAGGTGAGTGAAAGTTCATAAACTGTCACAATAATCTATAACAACAAATGTTGATGGGAAAAGATGATCAATACCCCCCACAACGCCTTTCAAGACCCACGGATCATACACATGCCTATTACAACATGTGGTATACGTCATCCAGTGCACTAAATGCCCAAATAACTATGTGGGTGAAACCAGACTAATCACTACACTCTCAGATTAAGTCTCACAGGAAAAAAAGAATAAAAAAATCACCAATGGACAAACAGTGTTCATTATCTGACGTCTCAGTCCTCATCCTCAAAGGAAACCTGCACCACACCTTCAAAAGACAAGCTTCGGAGCTTAAATTCAACTTTTCTAGACACTAAAAATTACGGTATTGAAAGACACTGGATTTATGGATTTGAATGGTCTCTTAGAATATGTGTAACCACTTACGCTAAACAATCTGTTCCATCTTGTATTTAGTTGTGACTTTCTGGGTATGTCTATTCATGCACCACTGTAGTGCTTCAGCGTAGAAACCGAGGTTCTCCCATTGGCGTAGGTAATCCACCTCCCTGAGAAGAGGTTGTTAGGTCAACAGAAGACTCCCTCTGTCAACCTAGCATTGTCTACACCTGGGGTCAGATCAGCATAGCTATGTCTCTCAGGGGGTGTGGATTTTTCACTCCCCAAGAGACATAGTTATGCTCAGGTAAGTTCCCAGGGTTGACCAACCCAGTGAATACCTTTTCCAGACCTGAAGAAAAACTAACTTGAAAGCTTGTCTTTCACCAATAGAAGAGAGTCCAATAAAAAAAATTAACTCACCCGCCTTGTCTCTAAAAAGCAAGACAGAAAGATTGAATTAGTTCAAACAAAAAGGCCTCCTGATATAACTTAAGGACTGCATTAAGATCATCCTTGGCAAACATGAAAAGCATGGAATCAAATCAGTGGATCAAAATTGATGTGTCAGAAACTAGGCCTATTGGTGGACAAAATAATGAGACGACAGACTATTTCTCCCAACACACTCTTTTGGGGTTCTTAAAAAGAAAATATTTCTGGGAAAAATTGGCAGAAGCAGTATCTGTCTGCCAACAACTGCTGTAGCGAGCATTATCATCATGCCTGCCATCTCTCACCATCCTCTGGAACACATGGACCATCTTCATCCTACCAGACCAGGCCAGAGACATGGATCCAGATATCACCACCACCTTCACTGGTTCAGGCTAAATCTCAAATACCACCTAGGATGAGAGATGGACATCCCATTCCTCACCACCTCTTCCCTTTGTGCGTTCTTTTCTTTTCCCATCTTATGTCTTCCCTTTCCTATCCCTCTCCTTTTTTCTTCTGGCAAATAAGTGTCTGGCTTGGTTGCAAGACTGTACATTTTGCAACACTGCTGTAAGCCTGTGAACAGACAGGCAACTAAAAGCAATGCCCTTTTTAAACAGCCTGATGCTGGTACAAGTATAAGTAGCTGATAAGGCCATGTGCTGAACCAGTGTTTTTCCAGAAGTGAGGTTGCAAGTGGAAGTCAACACCAGAAACAGAAGCTGCATTTTCTTTCTTTGTGATTCTTCTCTTCCCTTTTTGTGTGCGTCTTATTTTGTCTTAGAAAACAGGATCAGACTTCAATGACAACAGCTCCAGCCTCTCTCAACTAACTTCTTCTCTCTTCCCCAAAGTTATTAGCATCTTTAGTATTATCTAAAAGAATGTCAAACAAGGGTTTTTTCCTTCTAAACACATTCTCCAGCTAATGGAAAAGGGAACAAGGGATATAGTTAAAGCATTTGAAATTTTAAAAAGAAAACTTTATTTAATACTTAACTGTTTTTCTTTTTTTTTTGTATCTTTAATAAAACACTTTAAGGATTTGCATTGATGTGGTTGCCATGGTGCTAAGCAGGCTGAGGTTTCTGTATACCAAACCCTGAATCTTGTTTAATGTTGGACAGTTTCAGAGTCATGACTCTTTGGGCCCCTTTATTCCTTCTAAATTAACACAACACTGCTTCATACAAAATGTAATAAAAATAAGTTTCCAAGGAAGGAGACTAAAGCAGAATCTACATTAGTTTAAGAGACAGATTTGCTTCTGGAAGTAGAGAAAGTGGACTGGGAATTGTCAGAATATGGTAAAAAAGCAGGACGATAAATAAGGTAAGAAATGGCCACCATATTAAACCAATTAAACATTAGGTATGGGGGCGAGGGGAAAATGTTCTTACAGAAGGAACACACCAGACTCTAATGATAGAATAGAGATTAAATAATTGAAAAATGTCAAAATACAGTTGGTGAATATTTACTTAAATCAGATTTACTTCGAGGGATGATAATTAATGACATGTGAAGGCACTACTTATAGATTTTATTGTAGCTTTTTAACTGCAATTTTTTAAAGTTAATCACATGTGAATTTACCTGGTGAAAATAAACCTTACTCAAGTTAGGAACGGTGAGCCAATGAAGTCACAGTCAAGACTGTATATGTTTAAAGACCCTGCACTTCAGCCCTAAACTGCAACAATACTCCAGTCTCGGGACCCTCGTGTTTAAACATACAGGATTTGTGCTTTATGTAAAACAGCCACTAGAGACAATGATTTAATAAAATTCCCTGTATATCCAAAATAGGTCTTCAGGAGTAAGAAGCGAATATTGTACTACTGTCCTAGCTGACTAAAGCTAAAGCTTTCAAAAATAAGAGAGACACTATCATAAGATAGTTAAGTTTTTAACCCCCTAGGGAGATATAAATAATACAATAAATGATTGGTTTAAAAAAGTTTACTTACTTATGGAAAGACACCTGAAGGATTGAATAATCGGCAAACGCAATAGTATTATAATAGTGCCCAGCTCATGAAATTTCAGTTGTATAAGACTTTTGAAAGGCAAACTAAAATCCCAAATGTAAGAACCTCACAAATCCAGGAACCTCACAAATGCACAGCTTGCTTTAAGATAACATGTTTTTTTTCCCCCAAGAACTTCAGTTCCCAGTGCAAACGATCATGCTGAAAAATTCTTTGATAATGCCACAATATACTAAGGAGACAGTGTGTATTACCATGTGATTAAATTTTCATAATATTTTATGAAGTTATTCATCAGACAAATAACTCTAGCACAGATACACTGAGGAAGAAGAAATTTGTCTCACATAATTGTAAATGGCAAAAGGCCAGAAAAACACAAATTACCTACAAATTGCTTTTTGTTGGGAAAAAGAGAAAAGTAGTTATGTTTTAGGGATATTAAAGTAATTTTGCATCCTTTACAGTGCAGTAAATGAATGACTTGAATTATAATGTTACACAATTATCCACAATCTCAAAAGAGTAAGTAATTATTAGCCAGGGGATGGAAATAGTTTAAGTACAGAGACAAAACATTGTAAATTCTGCACAATAGAGACACAAAAATACTCTAATAAAAAGATTGTATAGCATGCATCTCAGAAAAGAAAATCTGTTGTAGAAAATTACCTAGAACCTTCAAGCTGATGTGTTACTGTAATAAAACTGTAGGAGAAATTATACACATATTATCTCTGCCATATAAAAAAACAATCCACTACATTAGAAGTTTCCTGGAAGAAGAAGAAATAACTGCACTGAGACATCAATGGATGATGTTAAGTGTTACCATTCTAATGAGGACCACCACTGCCATCAGAACCAAATGCAAGAAAACAGAAGAAAATTAATTTACCTAAAGAATAAACTGAAACCTGAAGAGTCCCCAAATATTCCATATACTACAATGAATGCGTAATTACTTTTCTTGGCAGTCTTTGTGTAATTAGAAGGCAAACACATTCCTTCGGTAGACCAAAGACCTTGTGTCTGAAAGGGACCTAAGTGAGCTTCCCAACCTCCATCCGATGCATCTGTGACTACAGTGAGTGTCTGTTGTGGCAGAGCAAAGGGAATTCCAATGCAAAGAGTTGAAGGTTCTAGCCAAAATTTAAAGTAGCACAAGATCTGAGTATGTACTTGAACCACAATGTCCATATGACAGGCCAGTGAATACAACAAAGCTAGCCAGCACTGTACCTTCCTGAAGTGCATGCTGCCATGTGCCCTAGAAGTAAAAGGCAGATTCAAACTGTAGTGACAGGATGTGATTTTATATCTAAAGCAGTGTTTCTCAAACTAGGGTCCACCTATCCCGCTGATCAATTCCTCCCCATCCCACCCTTCAACTCAACTCCTCTTCCTCCCTCCTAGCACCTCCTGCATCTTAACAGTCCGGTGGTGCAGCAGA